CCTGAACTGTTCAAAAGAAGGTAAGGGTATTTATTACCTCTAACTTTAATATACCCACCTTAGTTAAATGAAAATTTCTAGGGTAACAACTAAAGAAGAGAAGTTTATAACACCCAAACCAGTAGAAGGAAAATAAGTAAATGATTAAAAGTAACTCAAGGGCCAGTCCCATAGCCTAGTGATTAAGGGAGTTGGATCCCACATGGCCAGCCATGGTTTGAATCCTGGTCCCAAGTAGCTTGAATAAAACAGCAGGCACATGTGCATGAATGTCTAAAATCCCAGCAAGATGAAAAAATGGGAGAGAAAGAATTGAGGCATGACCACACTCCTTTAGGGGAGTTTCTGACCACTCCTGCCCTTCTCTCTTTCTAGCAGGTGCACATGCCCTGTGGCAATTAAAAAAATAAAAAGTAACTCAAAAGAAGGGAAGAGAGCTAAAATGAAATGGAAAACTGGTAGGACAAATATATTGAAAGCATAAAAGACTAAACCCAGTCAGTGATTATATTAAGTGAAAATATCCACTTAAGAGACAAAGAGAATCAAGCTATAAAAAAAAAAAATTGACTATATGCTGTTTGTAGGAGAGATATCTAGAACACATAGATATAGAAAAGGTGGAACTACAAGGATGGAAAGAGATATACTTCCTACCATTTAACCAAAAATAGATGGTGTAGCTATACTATCAGATAAAATAGACTATAAGGCAACCAAAAATTTTACTAGAGATTAAAAAGGTAAATTCTGAGGCCAGTAGGTGACATGATAGTTAAGGCACTGCACTACCACATGGCTAACGGCGGTTCAAGCCCAGACCTGGATACTTGGTTTCTTTCTCTCTCTCTCTCTGTCTCTGTCTCTGGTGAGTACATGTGCCCTATAGAAAATGAAAATAAATAAATAAAATTAATTAAAAAAGCAAATTCATAATGATAAAAGGTTAATCTGTCAAGAAGATATAACAACTTTTATTTGTATGCACTTGATAATATGGGCTCAAAGATGTAAAGTAAAAAATCAGAGGGCGAAATAAACACATTCATAATCATAGTTGGATTTTTTTTTGGAGAGGCTTTTGCTATAGGGCACGTGTGCTCAACAGAAAGACAGAGAGAGACAGAGAGACAGAAAGTGAGAAATCACTCCCCAGGGGGGTTGGCCATGCTGCAATCCCTTCTCCATTCTCCTCTTGGGATCTTGAGCATACATACACATGTGTGCCTGGCATAAGTTTAAGCCACCGGGTCCAGGACTCAAACTGCGGTAGACTACATGGGAGTCCAGCGACAGCTTTCTTATACCAACTGCTGTCCCCCATAGTTGGATTCTTTTTTTTTTTTTTTTTTTTTTGCTATAGGGCGCGTATGCTCACCAGAAAGACAGAGAGAGACAGAGAGACAGAAAGTGAGAAATCACCTCCCAGGGGGATGGCCACGCCGTTGGACTTCCACATGACCGACCTAGTTCAAGGCCTGGACCTAGAGGCTTGCTTTCCCACTTTCCCTCTATCTCTTTCTCTCTCCCTCTTTCTCTCTGTGGTCAAGTTAAATAATAATAATAAATAAAATTAAATACATAATTTCAAAAATCTGATCATAAACAGATCCCTAGTAGACACTTCAACAAAATTTAAAGGATTAAATATAGAACACATCCACAATCAATTACTAAAAGATAACCAGAAAATACTCATATATTAGAAGATAAGAAACACATTTCTTGGGGCTGGCAGGTGGCGTGGTGGTTAAGGCGCTCGACTCCCACATAGCCAACCTGTTTTGAGTCCCGGACCTGGCGGCTTGTTTTTGTACTTTCTCTCTCTCTCTGTCACTCTGTCCTTCTCTAGTCAAATTGAAATAAAAAAAACAAACAAATAAATAAATAAATAAATAAAGTTCAATAAAATAATTCTTTAAAAAAAGAGAGAGAAAGAAACACATTTTTTAAATGCCTGTAGGTCAAAAGAAATCACAATGGGAATTAGAAAATACTTAGAAACAAGTGACAAAAATACTACATTATTAGGCCAGCTGGTGGGGTGGTGGTTACAGTGGTTGGATCTCACGCAGCCAGAAGTGCCTTTCAAGTCCCAGATCCGGTGGCTTGAGAAACATGCCAGGCACATCTGCCTGAGTGTCCAAAATCCCAAGGGGAGAATGGAGTAGAAGAGACTGCAGTGTGGCCATCCATCCTGGGTGAGGGAATATATTTTTACTTTCCCTCTTTCTCCCTCTGTCTCTCTTTCTCTGGAGAGTGCATATATTCTATAGTAAAAAACTAAAAAAAAAAAAAGCTGGTTCTCTGAAAAGAACCTCTACTGAAACTGAACAAAAAAAGGGGGGGGAGGGGGTAAAAGCATAACAATGGAATGGAAAAGAAAGATATCTCTACAGATACTATAGACAGTAAAAATTGCCTTCTGTCTCTCTTTTCAGCAAGCATGTGTGTACTCTGGCAAACTAAAAAAGAAAAAAAACTTAAGGAGAAAGATATTGAGTCTGCAATCAAAAGCAGTATCACAAAAGAATGCAAACCTCCAGGGCCAGGCTGCTTCATCATTGAGTTCTATCAAATATTTAAGAGACAAACAAGAAGAAACTAAAATGGATAGCGGAAGAAGAAAATGAACCTTAGTTACACTTCTGGACCAACTGAAGAGGCAAGGTTTTAGAGTGGCCCATTCACTTTACCCTCGTGTAAGTCTTCCCAGAATCCCAGAGAAGCTGCACCTGGATGGAGAGAACTTACCAGATAGAGCATCTGAATGGCGCAAGAGGGGGACTGTAGAGAACACTACTGGTGTTCCATCCAGGTCCTCTTTTTTTCTAAGAATTATTTATTTTATTTTATTTATTATTACTTTTTAATTTGACCAGAGAGAGAGAAAAAGGGAAAATGAGAAAGCAAGCCACCAGGTCCAGGACTCGAATCATGGTCAGCCATTTAGAATCCAGCACCTTAACCACCACACCACCTGTCGGACCTCACCCTGGTCTTCCTTAATGGCTAGGACATCCACCCTCCAGATGTATGTGTCAGCTGGTAACGACTCACAGGTGCCTCTTTCTCCAGAGAACTGCCACCTCTACTTCTCCTCCCCTCCTTTTCCACCCATCTTGCTCCCCTCATTTTCCTCTTTCTGAGCACTTCTCTCAATATATCACTTGAATAAGAATCTCTACTTCAGGCTCTGCGGCTGCAGAACAGGACCTAAGACATCACCATTTAAGGGGTGAAAAGAGCCACAGAGCACAAGAAGATACTTTTGAAATATTTGATAAGGAACCACTAACCAGAAAACATAAACAACTCTGAAAAAACAATAAGAAATAGTTAAAATAGGCAGAAGACTTGAAAAGCCAGTTCACAAAAGAGGTCATCCAATTTAACCAATGAAAAAGTGCTCAACATAGATAGTAACCAAGGAAAAATTAAACTCACAACAGCTAATATAACACACCCATGATTATAGTTTAAAGATTAAAGCAGACAAAACCCACGTATTTACAACGATGTGAAGTAACTGGAACTTTCATAAGCTACAGGTAGGAAAGTAAATCACTTAGAATACTGTTTGGCATTGTCTAGTGGAGCAACTTCACTTTGATGTCAGTAATCTAAAGAAATTTGTTTACATATACAACTGAAAATGTCTAAGGATGTCCTTGTCAATCTATAAGCAGAAACTATAAGCAACTCAGGCCAGCAGGTAGTATGGTGGTTAAAGTGGCTGGATCCCAAGTGGCTGACTAAGTGTTTAAGTTCCAGACCCTGTGACCAGGCGTGTGTGTTGCACAGCCAAAATTATGAGAAGGGATTGTGGTGTAGTCATCCCTTGTCCAGGGGGTGCTTCACCACCTTCCTTCTCTCTCTCCTGTCTCCCACATGTCCTATAGCAAATTAACCAGAAAAAAAACCCCAAAACTATAAGCAACCTATCAACTATTGGATGAATAAATCTATTGTGACATATTCCTACACTGTTAGTTATGAAAATAAGTCAGACTGCCACATGAATGTATCTCACAAACAACAAGTTGAGCAAAAGAAGCAAAACATAAGATGCGAACAGTAGATTCTATATGTATAAAACTTAAAAACTAGTAAAACTAAGTTATATGGTTTAAGGATGCAGATGTAGGTGATAAAACTACAAAGCAAAGAAATGATTATCATGAAAGTGGGTTTCTTTTGGGGAGGATGTTCTAATGTAGAAGGAGGTACTGGATACAGGTAATGTTCCATTTGTTGACATGATGGTTATATGTGTATTCCCCTTATAATTATGTTAAACTATATGTTTGTAGATTTTTTCCAAATGCATATTTGTTATATTTTATATTTTAAAAGTTTAAAATGAGCCTGGCCCTTATAGCACAAGCAGGAGGGCACTGTTGTATGGTGGCTGAAGTCATATGGAGGTTAATTTTCCTACCCAAGGTAAACAGCCCAGGGAATGGTGGCATGCACCTATAGCCCTACTTAACCGGATAGTAGGGACAGGAGGATAGAGTGACATTGTGAGAGCCTGTCAAAAATACCTCTCTCTCATTTAAAACAAAAAAAAGTATAAAACAGAGAGAATGAAATACATATACTGATTATTGTTTGATTATTAGAAAAATTGAGAACTAGAGCCAGCGGGTAGTATGGTGGTTGAGGCACTGGATCCCACATGGCTGACTCCCAATTCCTGTCTTAGACCTGGTAGCTTGAAAATCACTCCGGATATCAATATGTGCATGCCTGAAATCCCAAGAGGAGAATGGAGGAGAAGGGATTGTGGCATGTCCCAAGTAGAGAAATCCCTTGGGTGGTCTGGGATGACCATAACCAAAGCTGCTAGCACGAAAGGGCCCAATACACCCTAAATGGGAACTCCCCAGAGACCAGGGGAACCCAGTCTGGTAATAGGCTCAATGCAAGGCCGCAAGTGTGCTGCTAGTGGTGTTTGAGGATGCTAAGCATGTGAGCATAAACTGAAAAGCTCTAACCTTGGTATCCAAGCATGAGATCACGCTGGCAGGGATCTGGTCCACTAAGGGCGTTGAGCAGCAATGACCACACATCCTAGGACCGTGCAGGACAGCTCTTCAATAGTGATACCACACAGCTGTGTCAGAAACAATGGGGATGGACTGCTCAGGCACTGAAGTAAGACTAACCCCTCTGGACTTTGCAAGCACCCAGAGAGCTTAGAAGAGGAAGACTTCAGAATTCTCAGTAATAAGGGTAATTAGAGAAATTGGGAGCCCACTTGGAAAAAATATAGAACTACACGACTGCATTAGAACCCAACTTGTGACATGAGACATCCGAGTTAAGCATCTAAGCTGAAATAGACGACATTTAATCGAATGTCTCTTTGTATACAATATCAAATATTTTAGACGAGTGGGAAACTAATTAATCACTAAGCTGACAAAATGAGGGTAATGAGAGAAATTAGCAGACACTTCAAACAAAGCCTATGACAGGCGACTCAAGAAGAGGTTCATTCATTAAGGCAAACTCGAAGAACAAAATGCTTCTTGTACCATTTATTACTATGTGAATGTGGTATGAGAAAGGAAATTGTTTCTTTCACATCTTCCTTAAAAAACAGGCCATGTCTTCCAGGTTGACCAGGACACTGTCTCACCTCTGAGAACTCTTACTGACTCCCTACCTTCACCTTTATAAAAAGGCCCCGCTGATTTGCCCCTTGCACGAGCTCATGTCCACAGTTTTATTCTCTCCAAAGATTCCGAGCTCTTTAAGGCCAGGGTCTATATGTGTGTTTATCTATTTCTGCTTACTCCCACTCTTCTTGGCCTTACCACCAATGCACGTTTATTGAAGGAAAAGAAGGGAGGGAGAGGGAAAAAGGGAAGAACAGTATGACAGCAGTGCAACTAAAAAAAAGAAAATCCATAGTGTGACTGCTTGACCACTTACTGCTTACCAGCTACTCGCGCTATCATAAAAAGACAATTCCCCTAATAACCATGGAAACCAAATGAAGGCCCTGTGGTGAGGGCAGTTCTTTTCAGAAATCTAAAAACAGTAAGAGGCTTGAAAGCAAAAAGACAAAGAAATCCAAGTGATTCAGGCCAAGAGGAAATCCTTTCCTGAAAGCCCTGACAAAGTGGCATTTTCTCCAGTCTCTGAAATCTCACCAGGCTTCAACAAGGACTCTGGAAACTGCTGAGAGGGATCATGAAACAATTCTGGCTTCTCTGTGTACTCTGTCCCTTGGGGCCAGCTGCTGAGGCAAGCTCACTGGGAGCTGGAACTTACTGTTATTGTAAACCTACGGAGAAACAGCAGAGTATATATATA